ATAAATAAATAAAAAAAGTTATGTTGATCTGAGGTCTTGAGTTTGGCAATTAGCTGTTGTCATTTTAAGATATACACACAGCAGGAGGTGACTGACTTGAAACACTACCCCTGCCCATATATTGAAATACGCTTGTCAGCTGTAATGACCCTATTCCCTGTGATCTCCTGAATTCCCATACTTTTTTTTTTTTTTTTTTGGGGGGGGGGGGGTATTAAAAAAATATATTATGTTGTACTGAAAACAAAATGTACTGTGTAAGTATTTTCTTATGAACTTTACTAGAAGCAGAAGTTGCTGCCTGTGGTCAGTCAAATAAATACATAAATGCATACACAAACATTAATAATTATTAATAAATATTATAAATATTCATTAATTATTAATATTAACTTTTGTTATTTGAGGCAATTAATTATTACTTTCACTGAACAAGATGTAAGTGTTTTTTTTTATTATTTTATATTTTTTTCTGCACACAATTCCAAAACAATTGACAAATTCGACGGCAAAACTCTTTTTTTTTTTTTGCCCGTTTCCCCTTTTATTTTTTTTCCTTTCTGACTGAGCATTTAGCAACGTTATCTCTGGACAGAAATTAATTTGCTTAACTAAACTACGTTGATTAATTCTGCTGCAGCAATTCTCGAAGGTGGGGAAGCCACAACGTGACCATCAATTCCAGATGACACCACAGAAACATTTGTGGAATAAACAAACGCAGATTGTTCCTTTCACGTATTTAGAACGTTATCGATCCAAGATCTAAATAGTTTTCAATGGAAAACGAGAAGGGAACGACTCTAAAAAGAGTCATAACTCTGGAAAAAAAGGCGAGTAAACAAATACATCATCTGCACCTCTCTCTCTCTCTCTCTCTCTCTCTCTCTCTCTCTCGTTCACTCTCATGCACACAAGTATGTAATGACACATGTAGGTGTTGATGAATCCCTCTTCTCTCTCCATTGGACCCAAACAGAGTGCCAGCTCCACCTCATCCATCACAAATATCTTATTTATTAATGTGCCAGAAATTGCCTCAATACAGTTTGGCAGGTTCTTAATTAACAAAAATGATGGAAGTTGTGTGCTCAACCCAACAGCCTCTGAAAAACTGTCATGCAGTTAGATGACAGTGTTCACAGGAACAGGCCGTCATCTTCAATTAACTTCTGTTGACTTTTTTTTTTTACTGTGGTGTGTTGGTTATTAGTTACTTGATAATTAATCCAGCAGCCACCGTGTGTAGCTCATACTACGTTTTCATCAAGGCAGCAGGTTGATCACTTGCATGCATACAGTACCTATTAAATAAAAATAATTGTATATAATTTAGGCTGTGATCAAAGTGCATTGTTTTCAATAAATTAAAAAAAAAATGCATGCATTGCCCAGGAAACCCCAAACTTAAAATAAAAAAAGTGATATGTGATTGAGGCAGGGCTTTCTGCTCAGGGACATGCAGTGTAGGATGTGGTCTAATTCAACATTAAAGCTTGATGCTCAATAGTACACAGACAACAGATATGATAATCCTGCTGCTAAACCCTCACAGTATCATATTTCCATGAAATGGGTTTACCAGCATGCACCCAGTGTTTACTGACAGTACAAAACGCATGAAGAATTCTCACAACAGTTTGCAGTAACCGAGAAAGCCACACAATGAACGCTGCTACGCTGCGTCAGGTGAGGATATTAGACCTGTATGTGTGTTTTACTTGGATTTCAAGAATATATTTTAACAGTAAAAAAAGGGGAGGTTGCAATTTTTTGAGGAACGAGTAAAATCACTGATGTGAGAAACAGTTCAAGTCTGTGAGATATATGTGAGGTATGCATGAGGTCAGATACACAATCAGATATAATCTTAAAAAAATGTTGCAAAAAGCTTAGCAAGTGCTTTATGACATATGATTTGTCATGTGTTAAGCGTCACTCAGCTCTTACTGGTGAAAGTGATGTTAAAGCCCCGGTCTGTGTATGTGTGGTCAGTCAGGAACTCCAGTCGGGCCACATGGCCACTTGTTGTTATGGGAGGAGGTAGGCCGTCCCCAGAGAAGGTACCCAGGATTGGAGATTCAGCCTGAAAAATATATCATTCCCTGATGAAATCAAGTATGTCTAGTTCTGGAAGCAATAAATAAATAAAGCAGCACTGCATAGCTCTTACAGTACTACAACCAGTAAAAATGATTGGCACATCCAATAAATATGGCAGAAAGGTTGTTGAGTTTGTACACATAATTACATAAAGTGCTTTTCTTAATAACGCCAGTGACAGATGCATAGGTTAATAAAAGAAGTCACACTCGGAGCTATTTAAAGTAGCTAAGGACAAGAGTGTATAATTTTGCACAACCTTTCCCCCATCCTTGATGGAGAGGAAGTCAAACTGTTTTTCCATGCTGAGGTCGTTGAAGGCCAGATTGATTCTGCTCTCGGGGTTGGTGATGATGAGCCACACACAGTGCATGTTGTTCCCATACTCCTGAGGGTAGTTGGGAGATAGCAGCACCCCGGATGGAGTGGTAAAGTTGAAGAAGCAGGAAACTAGAAGAGTGATAGAGTTATACAGACAAAGGAAATTGAAAAGTAGAAGGAATTAAATACAATAAAAACAGTAGTTACAAAATGAACAATTTTCTTTTAACTTTCTGTACGTGGATATTTGATAAACTTTGCTTAGTGTTAAATTAATTAATGGATAATTAAATAATCAATTAACGAGTCTGAGCCAGACTAAGAACAAAGTAGACTACAGTCTTATTTAAACAATTTTAGTTTCAAAAAATTCCAAGCTGCCATTAATTTCACATCCCACAGTTATCTGTAGACGTTATATTTTGAAAGAACTACAGTGAGACTGAAGCATTAGCCAGATGTAGCACTTCCTGTGCAGCCTGGGGCACTTGAGGCAGTACTTTTACAGTACATCTGCCAGAATGACCATGTGATTCAAAACTGACAGCTGTGTGAAAGGTTTGCAAAACAATTATTGCACAAAACACTCAGAAATATTCAGAATGTGGGTCAATTTAAAGAGGCAGTAATCCAAGTGGATTTTAGCCAAGATTGATCGAGCCCTTAGCTTGTAAATTTGATCAAACTGAAACAATTTTCTTTTCCAAGTTGCAGTTGTTCAAAGAACTAACCATAACGAGTAGGACAGCAATTCTTCACAACTTTATAAAATAAAAAAATTAAAAAACTTGACTTTAAAGCAGTGGTCCCCAAACCTCGGACCAGTACTGGTCCATGGGCCAATTGGTACCTGGCCGCACAGAAAGAATGCATAACTTACATTGTTTTCATTTTATTTAATATCTTATTCTGAATGATATTACATTTTGAAAAATTACCAGATTCTCTCCGCACATCTGTCTCTAACTCACTCTTGACATAGGTCAGGATGTTTGCCTCGGTCACATGGCTACCTTCTTAAAGGGGCTGCTCCCGCCAGTTCATTCTCCCAGCTGTTGCACGATCACCTGTCTTTGCTTTTGAAAGATTTTGAGTGCTTCCCAACTACAAAAGGCACACAAACTGCCAAGGAATGGATCTGTGATCCACTGACCAACAAACCAGGGGAATCCAGCGTGTCTATGCAAGAAGATCAACTGTTGGAGATCGCATTTGACGGCAACCTTAAAAGTATATTTGAGATAACAACTCTTCTGGTGTTCTGGATTAAAGTCATGGCAGAATACCCTGAGATCGCTACAACAATACTGAAAACCCTGTTGCCATTTCCGACATCCTATCAGTGTGAAGCAAAGTTTTCTGCAGTGACAGCAACCAGAACAAAATTAGGGAGCAGACTGGACATAAGCAACACACTTTGGGTGTAATCGACTCCCATTACCCTTAGATGGGATTGTGTTGTTGCAGAGAAACAAACTCATGGCTCCCACTGATTTAGTTTTATGGTGAGTTGTATTTTTCATGCACTTTATATTTGGTTTTTTTTTGTGGTGTATCTTATGTTGAAGGCATGTTTAACCTTTCCTATTATGACCAGAGAGTGTGAGACTGAGAGGCCGTCACTCAGATTACAATGTTGGCGCAATGTTACGAGGACACTGCTAATAAAGTTGCACACACAGTGGATTCACGTTTGTTAATATATTTAGAAAATACCAGTTTTTATGACGGTCTTATCATTTCATTTTGTTGTATTTATCCGTCACACCTTAAAGGCCAGTCGTCTAACAATAATCCAGTCCATGGCACAAAAAAAGGTTGGGGACCAATGATTTAAAATATCCTATCTATCCCTTTAGGTTAAAAACATTCAATACAAGGAACTGAAAAACATTTATTTTACAGTAAATATATGTGTTGTGCTGTTAGAAATTAAACAAGTTTTTATTTATGTCTTTAAAAAAGTTGAGTAGTATATCATTTGGTCTTCAGAGACTATAGCTCTGTCTTGTATTGTGTAGGTGGTCGGAGAATAATAGGCTTGTGTTGGGACATAGAGTCCATTCAAATAATTATGACATAAATCTACATCCTGATGGGTAATGCAAACAGTACATTTTAAAATGACACTGAAATTAGACATTAAACAGCAGTACACAAACTGTTTTCTTATTTCCAATTACAACCAATTGCACTGCTGTGCATAACTTATTGAATTGTTCACTAACTGTTAAATGCTACGTTCACATAATCCGTTTTCCAATAATATAAAAATGAATTCACTTATGTGTTGTTCAGCTCAGTGATGTTTATCACAGGTTTATATTATTGCCTTATCAATAACACAACAGTGAACATCCCCTGTATGGTCAGATCTATTTGTTTCATCATCATCCAACTCATTTCTGTGTGTGTATTTCATTGTGTTAATTAGTTAATAATCCCCCACATTGTTTTAAAATCTGCAGGCTCACTCTTAGATGATCCAATCCATCATTCTGCATCTGTCCTTGTGCTCATCTGCGCAGTATTTATGCAGCCTTGTCAGTGTTGACATACCCATGCAAATCTGAACGATACGTGACGTGCAACAACTCACAAACACAGCTGGGTTTCTTAGCTGACCACTGGTTGTTTTTCTGACAAGTGATGTTCTTTTTCCCCACCAGCTCGAAGGCAGGCAGACACTCAAAGTACAGCCTGTCCCCATGACGAAAGCCCGTCCCTTCACGTTTTCCGTAAGCTGGGATTCCTGGATCTCCACAACTGCCTTGGTCGATTTCTGTGTAAAACAGACGTAAACAAATTTGACTGAATACTCAGATAAAAATGAAAATTTACGATATGTTAGGTAGGCAAAGCATTGCTGCCTTGCTCTGTTTTATTAGTTTAGATGTGTTTCATTGACACCATTTATATTCAGTGTTACTGCTAGTGGTAATAGATAAAATACACACATTATTAGCCCAAAAATAAATATGTGTTTCATTTTATGTAGGTAATAAAACCAGTAAGATTTGTTTAACCCTACTTGTCAAAGATGCTTTACACAGGTGGAAAGTGCGAAGAAGAACATGTCCCTTTTAATACACTAAATTTGCTTTTACATCAGTGCTATTCATAATGCATTTATGAAATAATTTGAGTATATTTCAACTTGTAAGGCACATGATGGTTGGTGACATGCCTTGATTGATTGGATAAAACAACATTTAAATTTGCAGGATACTCTGTGAGAAGGGGAATACATATTTATTTATTTTTTTAATAGTGAAATAAACTGTTTTCTAATTTACTACTAAGATAATGTATTTTAGTTTTACCCTAATGTGTGCAACACAGTGTCATGTCCCTCAATTTACTGTGATCTTGACCGTCATCTGACTGCAAGCGTATCCGTGCTGTGTGACAAACGTTGTCATTTCTGTTGAAAGCTGACATGAGCACTTTCACACGAACACGCAAACACATCCTCACCTTTACGGACACACCTCCTACCTAAAACCACACACGCCAATTTCATTATCACAAGATTAATGCCTCCCTCTGTATTTCCCTCACTCCCTTTCTACTTTCTAAGGCTGAAGATTGCAGATGGAAACGCTGAGGCATCCTATTGAGGCATCTGGAACACACAGAGCGAATGAGCTCATTCATCCAGGAAATGATGGCAGGGCCTAATATGATTTTAAATCGCACCAGGGGTGATGCTCGGTATAAATCCATACTCAGCCCTAATGACGATCATCATTTAGAACGTATACTTAGAGCTCACTGCTGTTTGAATGTATGGCTGTCCTAAGGCAGCCACATCCACAAGACAACTCATTGATCTTACGTGGAAGTCACCTTTAAAAGATGAGTGAGTTTTGACTTGAGCCTGACAGCAAATGTTCAAGAGCTGTTTGAAACCTTAAGGTAAAATCAGCTACAAGGAGCAATTATAAATACAGACTAATGCAAATCCAAAATAAATAAACAACAACATAGAATACAGTTTACAGATGATCTTGCTTCCAAATGGGTCCCTAATTTGAAGGTCAGGTAAAATAGAGGTAATTGGAGTTCTTTATAGTATGAGATTAGACATTTCATAGAAAGTATTTTGTTACAAATGCATGATTCTGTACGTCTTACTTCAAAAATATGCCTAACATCACAGTTAAATTAAACCTGAAAATATTAAAATTAAAATAAATTAAAAAAAACAAACAGATGTGAGATTTTTGTTCTCATTCAACTGTTAACAGAAGCTCTTTCAAGATCAGTGTATTTGGAATTCATCAGTAAATAATTTATAAGCAAATCCATCCAATTATCTTTACCCACTGCTTTCTTTTTTGGGTAACAGGGGTCACTGGTGTTCATATCTAGCCATCACTGTGCAAGAGATGGGGGACACCCTGGGCAGGTTTCCAGTCCATCACAGGGACACATAGAGACAAACAAGACAAAAAAAAAAAAAAAAAATCACTCTCTCACTCACACCTAGAGACAATTTAGAGTTACCAATCAGTCTAACATGCATGTTTTTGGTCTGTGGGAGGAATTCCAGCAACCTTCTCACTGAGAGGAGCAGCTCTACCAAATGTGCCAACATGGGCTAAAACCTGGATTTGTAATTCTTACAAATGCACATACATTTTTTTTTTACTTCAATTATACAAAAAAAGGAAAAACAAACAATCAAATAAATGTATAAAACACAATAAAAAAATGCCATCAACAATTCGACTACAAGCTGCCAAGTCTGAATGTTAGCTAAATGAGTTTATGTCAAGTTTAATGGTCTAACTTAGCAAGACTCATATGAACACCACAGAAAGTGTTTGGCAGCCAACTATTCAAGTTTTGCTTTGTTAATGAGTTGTTACACCAGGAAAAATGGTCAACCTTAAAATAAAAAACTATTGTTAACACACTGAATGTCCAAAGAGAGGACATCAGAGAATTCCTAAGGTGTCATTATTTAATATTTGTCAAGTGCAAACAATCACCAAACCATTATGGTGTGGAAACCACGACAACAGAATGTTAACTTTTACTCTTTAAAACAAACATTTCATAACATTTTGCAACTAAAAATATGCTTTTTTATAGTCAAAGATGCTGTTTGTTGACATTTGAGTAAAAAAAAAAAAAAATCACACTAAGGTGAAAGATTTATTTGAAAGTGTTTCTAATAGGATGTTTCGGTGGAAGAGACAAACATCAAACTACTGTAATTCATCTGTAAATTGTTATACTGTACACATCCAATGAGCAGAATGGTGTTACCTTAAAATTAGACATATTTTACTTAAAGCATGCATTTGCATCAAACTACAAACTACTTAAATGGCTTGTTCTTAGTGTTCTAATAAAGTAAAGTGATTGAGTTTAGAGGATTTGCTCACTGACATTAACGCTTGGCTGCAAACATTGCATTGTCAGAAAGATAGAGGACACTGCTGAGTGTGTGTGACCTAAACGTAAAAGTGTGAGATCTGCTTTCACTGTATTTGCAACTAAACTTGATGATCAGGCAAAAAAAAATACTAGTAATTGAAAATGCAAATGAGATTTTAGTCTTCTCCAATCTGGGAGGTTAAGGGTTTCAAAGCGTTTCTTCCAGCTTCATTAAGTAGAACTCATAGTTTTAATTACACATTGGTTCAGCATGCCACTTCACTTTCTGTTAGTTTTAAAGATAAAAAACTAAAACGTGGGGAAAGGGAGAAAGACTTGTGCTTCACCAAGGTGTTTTTTTTTTTTTTTTCAGAAAAGACTCTACACTCCAATACAACACATACATTTAGAGTAAACCTTCCTTAATTACAGTAGGACAAACATGTCAGATGATAATTAAGACTTCCTGACTGTTTGAACCTCATTAATCTTTAGTACATCAAACATGATGCAGGTAATTGACATAAAAGCATAATAAGTACTGGATGCTATGAAACACGCACATAGATGCTGATTCATAGTTAATTCTAAATATCCTGTTTCCGAACATTTTTTTTTCCCTCTTTTGGTTGCTCCTTTTATCAGGGATCACCACAGCGAGCAAACTCACATGAAGGTTTGGCAAATGTTTTACGCCGCCCCTCCTGATGCACCACAGACCACAGAGCTATCGCAGCCCGCGTGTGTTTAGCAAAGGGCTGCCATCCAGGAGAGCAGATCTGAGCTTAAGAGCCTTGCTGAAGAACCCACTGTGGGGCAAATGAGAGCGGAGGCAGGTGTGGGTGCTACACGTTTCCTGCCCCTAATTTTTATGTAATTGTCAGGGGTTTTGAACCGGCAACCTCCCAATCACAAGCTCACCTTCTTTAACCTTAAAAGTAAGTTATTTTTCCAGAGAGAGCTCAGCCTAAGTCCCATGTGACGTTTTCATACAGCCTAAATCGTAGCATTTAAAAGTCAAATTGTTTTATTCAACAAGTCTGTGTTGTGCAGTAAATGTTATATTGCTTTACAACGCAGCCTGTAGGTAGCATGGCTGGATCAATAGGTATATAAACACTGAACTCAGAATGACTCTCACTGGTGCACCAATGGGATGAAATGATGTTAAAATGTTTTGAGGGTGCAAATGATGTCATATTTTACAGGTGAATTCTGTGTTTCCTCTATATCAGTTTCCTTGGTGGGGCGCTTGTCGTATTTTAGTTTTTGTCCGGGGAGTGGGAGGGTCTGTGTTGCCCACCTGCTAGCTTAGCACTATGTTGCTATCGATAGGGGTGGAGGAGGAGTGTCACATCTGTGTTTAGTGCTACGTTGCTGCTGGTAACTGAAGATGCGTTGGGCGTGGAGCATTACGTCAGTAGCATTGTTGCTAACATGTTTGTATTGCACCCCGTGCTACTTAAATATCAACAATTGTTGACCGGGGTATGGTGTAGGCGGGGCGCTCGGTTCTGTTGACGGGACGAGGCACCCCACTTGGATAATGGTAGGGGAAACACTGGAATCAAAACCTAAGATGATATGTGGGAGTGATGGTGCAAAGGTTAGAAAAGGTGGGCCAATGATCAGAAGGTCACTGGTTTGACTCCCTGGGCTGAAAACATCAAAATGTGGGAAGAAAATGTGAAATACCCACACGTGCCTCCACCTTCATTTGCCCCACTATGGGCCCTTGAGCACAGTCCTAAACCCCACCATCTGCTCCCAAATATATGTTGAATAAAATGCTCCAAAAATATTGATTAGAACTATTGCCATTGAAAAGCAGAGAATACACTATAATGAATCAAAACCTTGTTGAGACATTATAATTGTTTACTTTATTCTAAATTTAGCTTTGCAACAAAAAAATAAATAAATCATTTGCATTTTTAAATGTAGGTAGCATGCTAAAACATCTTATTTTTGAGCAATCCTTACCTTCGTAGGACACTTTGAAGCCGAGGGAGCCACTGGTGTCATCTGTTTTGAAATTGAGCCACATCTGGTGACTTGTACTAACCACGAGGTCTGGAGTGGTGGTACCAGACAGGCTGCACGGTGAAAAGAAAATAAATTACTTATTAGAAGAAAGTTTGTCTGTGCACTGTAATTAAAACATGCATATTTAGTGTTTTATTTACTGCTTTTAATGTCTGTACAATGGCCACAGTTTAAATTGTTAAATAGTGTTTACTGCACAGTCACTTGTAGTCACTTTAATGGTCAAGCTAACTAATTTAAGACACCCTTTAAATATATTAATTACAACTGTAAGAGACAAGTGTGATATATTTTGATTACACATTAAATGATTAGACTCTAACGCTAATATGAGAAACATTAGCCTAAAATATATATATTTTTGTACTCAAGGCTTTTAATGCAAAAAAGCTGGGGACAAGAAAGTGGAAAATGATCAGTCAGCGCCACAGTACTAATTTAATCCTATTTGAATAGTAATTCCATCCGGCTGTAATTAGAGAAGTTTTTAGCTGACGAGTGATTAAGGGTTCTAATTTTAGTGATGGAACACAGAGAATAGCAGGATGAGTAAACGAGTCTGGAGACGTCGGTTCTGTTTTGGCCCCTTTTTGTTACGGTTTTCTGTCAACATGTGGGAGGTGAGATAAAATATTTACTAACAGCTGGAAGGTGTGACTTTATGGGTATACTTGCAACTCCCAACTTCTTTCTTTTGTGTTTTAATTTTTGCAACCAAAAGCAGCCTAATTTTAGATTATGTCACATGGCTAACCTGTAAACTTGCAATAAGCTCATTAACATTAATAGCTTTGGCTTCAGGCATTTGCTTAAATCATGTTCCTATTTATGAAAGAAAAAAAAAGAAGAAAGAAAAAAGCAGCTGTCATCTTTCACCTTTTTAATCGAATGTGTTTTTATTCAAGTAAAAACTGTTATCCTTCCTGTTGGCCTATTTAAGGTTTGCAGAAGAAAATCATGTTGCTCCCTCCACATAATTTCCCCTGCAGGTAAAAACAGTGGTGGCACTTTAACACTGAAAGCTTTTCATTGATTATGACTCAACGCCTGTTTGCCACCACAATTATGACTCTGCTGCAGTTTTATGCCTCTGACCTTAAGTTACAAAAATAATTCACAGTACACTACAATGTTTTTGCTTGATTCACAAAAATACAGTCCTGAGCTTTACAGCGGTGATTGCTGCAGAATATTTTCCACTGCTAGTTTGCTTGTGTAGAAAATTGAGGACTCTTTTGACTAATGTGTTTCAAATAAAGAATTAAAGAGAATGGAAATATAACATAATAAAACAAATAAATAAAATAGTGTGTGTGTGTGCACAAAATAAAAAGTCAAATTGTTCCATGACAAATCTCTGATATATTTATTGCCAACTTTTTCCACCTCACACCCCACAAAAGCAACCTCAAATAAAATTAATCTATAAAAACTTTATGACGGTGGTAAAATTTAGCACAATTAATAAAATCCTGTGAACGGTGATAGAGCAGATGTTAGCGTTAACTCCATTAGGGGGCATTGATACGCAGTTTGTACTCTCACGCCACCTGGCTGTGATGTTGTTTTAAATAATGGAAAGACATGAGTGACAATGTGGTGCAACATCTTTTTATTTATTTATTTATTTATTTTTTATGTGCTGCTGCATCAGGTGGTGATGAAATCAAAGAGAAACTGTGCCTGTGAGAAATGACGACTGGGGGCTAAGGAAGAGAGTGGGCTACTGCGAGGAGTGTGTGTGTTTGTTCGGGGTGAGCAAGGAAGTGAACAAGGAAAGGCAGAATATGATTTCAAAGAACACAAGTGGGAAAAAGAGACTAGTAGCCCTTAGAGGTTACAGAACAAAGGAAAGTTTAGAGGCAAAAAAAGAAGAAGGTCTAAGAGGAGCCACTCACACGTGAAAGATGGTCTTCTGGTCTCCCACAATCTCTCCGTCTCCCACCGTCAGCGTGTCATAGCCCCTCTCCAGGTCAAAATCCTCAAATGTCAGCTTGATTACCTAAACAGTGAAGACATCACCCAGAGAACCATAAATAACAGATGCTGGAACTATCGTGAATTCAGGTGTAGACAAGAAACCGCTTTCCATCTGTGGTACAGAGTGTCTCTGGGTATTATTTAGCAGATGACTATAATGCACCCATCCACTATCTTTAACCTGCTTCTTCTATTTTCGGTCGCAGGGGTCACTGGTGCCCATGTCCAGCTATCACTGTGCAAGAGGCGGGGTACACCATGGACAGGTCGCAAGTCCATCACAGGGCCGACTATAATGCACTGAAAGGTTATTCTTGTTACTTTACAAGTATTCAGCATATCAGAGATAAGGAGCAATTTGTACAAGCTTCCTAAAAACTGTATAGACTCCATAAAGTATACATGACTCTTAATGTTAACCTTACTACATCTGACTTTCAGACTGGGTATTATGAAATGTTTCCCCTTAATCAAATATCTGATTGCTTGCCAGACGGTCAGCATGACCCTGCACTCATGAAAACAGTGGGGGAGTCCATTTCAACAGCCTTAAAGCACATCGGCAGATGAGACAAGGGATTTAAGGCTGTTCTCAAGGTGAATGTGCTGCATGTACTACAGGCTACAACAGGGTGTGCAAATTATCCCTGTATTAGGTGGTAATGTGAGGAATCTAGTAGAGCAAATTTTATTTCAATCAAAAACTACTGGTTGGAACAAAGGCAGAACAAGGTAACAAAATAAATAAGTAAAATGTGACCTGAATAAAACTCCCATATAGGCGATATATATATATATATATATATATATATATATATATATATATATATATATATATATATATATATGCACTAGGATAAAGCTAATTAGTCAATATTTATGCAATGATTACATATTTTGGTATGAAACAACCAAAAAGACAACAACCTATTTTAAATTGGCTGCCGCTGTTTTTCGACAGATTCTTAATGTTTTCAGAAAGCTAAGGGAAGCAAAGTCTAATGAAAAGCTTATATAAATGCAAATTGTATTCTGCCCTATGTTAAACCTCATGCCTAATGAAAATTGCCAAGGTGGAGAGAAAAGATTGATGATGGGCGACCAAAATAGGTCAGATCGCTCGATAAATAGAGTTTCATACCACAAACTCGTCTCCCGTTTGTCAGCCAACAAGAAAAGTATTAAACAAAGTGAGACACAGGAAAAGTAAATGAACAGAAAGTGCAACTATATAACACGGTAGTTGTGACAAAACAACTAGTGGTAGTTCAGGTTCGTATAGGTTTTTGGAGTCTGAGCGGAAATGTTGTTTTAGAAATATCAGAAGCAATACTATTGTTGGGTGCATTTACTGTTTTTGTTGAGAATGAATTTTCTAATAGTTGCTCACAGACTTGAATTAATTGAAGCCAAGGATCTGTTTGAGCCAGAAGACAGCACATTCGGGGTCATGTTGCACTCTGAATTTGGTGCCAATAGGAGCTTCTGTGGCAATGCTCTGCCAAAATAATAAAGTATCTTTGTTTCCTACTGCAGTATACTTTCCATTGTTTGCTATCGCTAACATTCCCAAGGCTGCGGAACAGAGACTGCAGTGTCCCTGATGTTCATGCAAAAAGAGCAGAAAGATTTCCAATACGACAGGACATTTTTAGTATCCTTAGGACCTTATGACGAGACACCTTTACTGAACCCCACATTTGTCACAATGTCATATGGAGTTTAGACCAAGAGGAACGCTGGCACGTCCTGTCCTGCTGCCTGTGCAGTACCTCAGCTAACAGCTGGGCCTATGTGGACGTATAAGAATAGAAGCTCATTACATCTGTAAACAAAAAGAGCAGCCTCGTTCCATCTTCATCTAAACACACAGCAAGAGTCAGCTTAAAATACAAGAATCTACTTCAGCACACTGCCTGCTGGGTACACACCCCAGCGACTCAAAAGTGTGTTTCTATACTTACAAACAAAGGTTGAGGTTTTTATAGGAGCGTGTTGTTGTTGATCAGCTTTCTAACTTGCCTCAAACCTTACATAGACTCTCTCACTTGACATAGTGTATTAAAAAATAGATCTGTAAAGCGATGTTTGAGTTCTGAGGGAATGTTTGGCACAGGAGCAACTGGATGGCCTTGAACACAAACCAAAGTCAATGGTCTAAACAAAATGGCTTTGAGACTTGCATGTTATCCTCTAAGCACACTTTCAAACCCTCTCAATTAGTCTCCTGTCCAATTCCCCCTCTTCTTCTATCTGTCACCACAGGTATTTCTAACAACTTGCTTTGTCTGCTGTTGGCTCAGATCCAGTCCTTTTTGTAACCCCAAATTCATTTTCTTAATCTCTCACATGTTTCACTTTGTCACATTGTGAGGTGAACTGCATCTAATGTGTCCTGTAGCAATAATCAAAGTATAAAATTAGTCTCAGACCAGTGTTTCCTCTGGAGTTCCTGCCCAACAGCTTTGCTCAGACCCATCAGCTTATTTTTTTTGTGTCTGGCACTGTTTAAATTACACAAAAATGGCTGACTGCAAAGCCATAATTTGTTTTCCAATAATCCATTGCTACCCTGATGCAAGCTCAATAATCCAGGCAGAAAAAAATAAAAATAAAAAGTTAAATTTGGTCCTCTGGACATTCAAAAAACAAAACAAACAAACAAAAAAAAATTGTAGAAACGTTTCGTCTTTCATCCGAAAGACTTCCTCAGTCTGAGGTGCTGTATTCAGCTCAGTCTCTTAAATAGCACCTTCTCAGAGTGGATCAACCAGTTTGCTGCTGACAACCAAAACCAGCTGCTCACATGATCAAGAAGGACCATCAGCCTAACGATGGACCATTAGCACACTGATGGCTGTTTACTATTCACAGGAGGTTAAGTGATATTAGCAATAACAGCATTGTGAGAGGGGGACAGTTGAACCCGGAGGCCTCCACCCCTGTTTAACGATGGACGATTTATTTTCACAAAGATGGCCTCCTTTACTCCTTTCTCAAACCATCGTTCCTCTCTGTCCAGGATGTGAACATCTTCATCCCTGAAAGAGTGACCTCTGACCTGGAGCTGAGTGTAGACTGCAGAGTCTAAGACTAAGATCATCATCATCAGGCCAGGACTCTGCGGTCTACACTTTACCTACCACTATGAGAGGGTGCTATTTATAAGCCTGAGCTGAATACAGCACCTCAGACTGAGGAAGTCTTTCGGATGAAAGACAAAACGTTTCCACAATTTTAATTTTTTTTTGAATGTCCAGAGGATCAGATTTAACTTTTTTCCATATTCTATTGAGTTTTACCGTTGATGTCTCTGTTGCTGTGATGACCCAAGTGCAGTTGGCGTTGTTGTCGTACTGAACAGGGTAGTTAGGAGATGTGATGACGCCACTTGGTCCTTTTAACTGACCTCCACACATAGGTGCTGCAAGAGAACAGATAAAAAGAGACAAACAACACTCACTCCAATTAAACACACCAAAAATAATAATACATTTTAGGATGTCAAATTGTCTCCTGGATCACTTGTTAAACTTGTCATTCATTCTGCGATATGGGAGAAGATGTTACTTTAACTCTGTAAAATGTATTTTTTTTTATTAGTACATCTAAATATCTCTTGTGTTTTAATTTATTTTTGACATCTTACTGGTGACTTTTTTTTTCCTTTCAGAAAATGTCCCATACATGTCTCAAAACTTTCATTTTAACAACCTCAGCTGGGGCAACAACACTACCAGCCTGATCAAGAGGCCACATCAGAGACTCTACTTCCTCAGGCGGCTGAGAGGAGCTGGTCTGGGAAGCTCAGTCCTCACCTCCTTCTACAGGTGTGCAGTGGAGAGCATCCTGTGCTCCAGCATCAACTTGTGGCATGGAGGCTGCACAGCTGCAGAAAGAAAAGCTTTGCAGAGTGGTGAAGGCCGCACAGAAGTCTGTTGGAGTCAGTCTCCCCACCATTACAGACATCTACACCTCCAGATGCAGGAAGAGGGCCACCTGCATCATGAAGGACCCCACTCACCCAGCACACACACTTTTTGCCCCACACCCCTCAAGCAGAAGGTTGAGGAGCATTAAGTGTAGAACCACTAGACTGAGGAACAGCTTCTACCATTAAGTTGTTAGACTCATGAATCCCTAATCAGGACTATCACTGTGAAAAAAAATCACTGTAATGCCACTTGATTGTTGATATGTGCTGCTGATCTCATGCTGCTGATTCATTTCATGCTGCTGTGTTAAAGGAGCAGAAGTTACAACAAATCCTAAAATGATTTTCCTTTGACTGCCCCACATATTGCCAAGTGTTTCTTATTTGGTCAACAAATGGGCTAACATCTGTCTTCAAGTATTGCAGAAACTTGGTCATTACCGATGCATTTAAATCAAACTTATTGGAGCCAACAAACAGATCAAACCAAATATATATTCAGAAAGGATCTTTCTTTGAATGTTAGGGTTTGTTTTATGTTACAATAAGCTGTTATAGCAAACTAGAGGATATCAGATTGTTTGACATTGCTCAAATCTGGCAACATGTCCACCTCTCTAGAATTAAAATTCAGTTTAATCAACAGGAAAATGAGTCATTTAGAATTCCCTATTAAAGGTTTTTATTAAAAGAGTGGGTGAGGCGTTTTCAAATCGAGCTTTAAAGGGACAAGGTGACTTTTTATTGAGGCCTGAGGGTCTCTGCATGGCAGAACTGTTAAACACCTCTTCAAATTAAAGCACAGAACTTCAAATAGTGTGCATGTGTGGACATTTGTGGAAGTAAATCTCAAAGCTCGTTAAAAGGTCTGAATGAACTAGCTTAATTTTAATTATTAATGCGTAAGAGAGAGGTCGTTCAGGTGGTAAAGGCTTTACGAGTGTGTTAGAGTGCTGCGTTGATACCCCCAAACTTACAGCTATTTTAATCTAAAGAAATTTGCTGAAGTTAGGGAGCAAATGAGCAAAGCTAATACAACTTCTGGTAGCAATTAGTGTGACCTTAAACTATGCAGACAATAAGAAATTGATGCCAAGGTTTAGTTGCAGACTAATCAGGAAGCTCTTCACTATCAAAAATAATCTGGCGTGACCTGAAAAAAAAGTAGGAATATAAAGGAACTTATATGATTTTGGTGTAAAGACAACAGATGTGCAGATAATTCCCTTTACCCGACCTCTCTCAGAGCTAATGATAGACCTTTGCAATTTAATAATGGTTATTTCCACGTATGATCCAGATTATTTTACATTATGAGTATCTTTGATCAAACAAACGGTTATGCTGAACAAAGGCACAGAACAAAAGGTTTTATAATGAAGGAATGAAATACTTTTTAAGACTCATGTTCTTCTTCATACTTAGCTTTTATAGATTTATTTACAAAATGTAACAAAAAAAAAGTCTGATTAGTGTGGCTTGTTTGTGAAGCTTAAAACGACTGTACACTAGTTAATAATATAATACAAGTAACGCAAAGCCACAAAGGTTTTTTTTGTCTATTTTCTTTTTGATTTTTCTTCAGATAAAACCAAATTCTGCAGATAAACTCTGAAATAAAAAAGGTACATGTTGTCAAACAAGACACTTGGAAAATAAATGGAAAATCTAACCAACTTGTTTCAAATCGGTGTAGCCAATTGGTAAAATTGAATACCTGTGAGTTTGTTCAATTTCTTACAAAATGAGGACAGATAAGAGAAGAAACTAGATAAAAATAAATAAATAAATAAATAATTTTGAATATGCTTGTATTTAGATTGTATTTCTACACATAGGGCAATACAATGAATCATGTACTACAATAAACAGTTTAATGTTTCTGTCCGCACCTGAACTGTTAGTTGTTGGTATTTTTATATTCTGTTTTTTTTTATTTTTTTATTCTGTTATTTTTTTAATTTTATAATTTTTATTTATTTATTTATTTAATTAATTAATTAATTTAAATTTTATTACATTTTTATTTTTTATTTTTCTGTTATAGAATTGCTCCGCTCGGTGTGGCTGCATGTTGGAGTAACTCTGTTACATTCAGTCTGTGATTTTGCTTGTGGAATCTTTAATTCCTCTTTTCCTGGATGTAAATAACTTTTTTTTTTTTTTT